TGCGGCGAGATCGATCGATCGTTACTAGGCGCGCAGAGAGTTGTAACGATCGATCGATCTCGCCGCACGTTTCAATTGGGCAGTGGGCCGGCCTAAAACAGCGATTTTTAATAATTAATAACTCGCTGACTTTTGCGAAAATTGCAAAATGGTAGAGGACTTTTCGACTTAGTCCAGTCCACTCTATCCCACAATAAACGTTGATGCGGGTATTACATAACACCCTGTATAGAAGAAAGATATGTGATAACGGAATAAAAATAATACAAGAAATTACGCAGTCAGTAATATAAAATATAAAAAATACTTGAAACGATCGTATATAAAACGCGACGCATTTACGCTAACGTTGTCGATACTGGTCAACACGATTCCAACTTTTGTTATTATGCTGTATATATTTGCGTCGCGTTTAAAAATGCGTATACGAGCTATTCTTATTTAATCCATTTTCCCCTAAATAGATTTCACTCTAAGGACAATAAATTCAAGATGGAAACTAACAGATGCCTGTTAATCTAGCAGAAACTCCGTTATCTCATATTAGGAGTCTATCTCATAATAAAAGACTTCCCTCTGTGTACTCCAAGTGCTAAAACGAGTTTTACGTTGTTCAATACTTTAAGCATGGATGATCAATGTAGGTATCTACATAGAGGCAAGTAAAGTTAATTCGATATCATGCCCAAAACAATTTGCTACAGGCCGATAAGTGGAGTCTTAAAACGCTATTTAAAATGCTAAATAAGAGCCCGTTCATAATACCGTGCACCATCATTTAAGGTGCACCATGCATATATTAAATAATTATGAAAATATTAATCGTAATAAATCTTAATTAATCGTAATCATCTTAATAATCTTATGAAATTTTTACCTAATTAAAAATTAATAGATCAATTAATTTGAAATGTATAGAAAACACAACACTGACTGAAACTCTTCATTCTAACAAATAATAATAGCTCGTATATTTGACGGTTCAATAATTATTCCATTTTCATCGAGATTTTATTTCTATATTTATGTCTGTACCTATATCATACTGAATAATAAATTGTATTTCGTAAAATTCCATTGCAGCCGAAAGCGAACCTTAATCGATTGAGTATCGCTATTCAAATGCTATCTGGAAATTCCGCTGTAGCAGTTAGCGAATTCGATGTACATATCTCGGCCAGCCGCATTTACATACCAATACGTAAAATATCCTATAAATAATTCATCGAGAGATGAATTCTGTTCGCACGTAAGCGAGCGGGTTTTTCGAGCCGGTGACCGTAATCGATTAAAAACTCATAGTTTAATATTCCAATTCCGAGGGAGATATTTAAGCCGGATCTCGTGAAAAAGGAAATATAATGGCTGTGTTTGACCAGCGCGACGTCCATACGCTTCGCGAAACGACCACGAAATCCTTCTCCCCGTAGGAAGGAAACGCATTGCAACGCTTGGATGCGCCTCGCAGCGGTGGCGCGATGACATCAGTGATAAACGACGAGATCAGGATGACATGTAACACGAGGCGCGGTGGCTGAGAGACGGCGAACGAAATTAAAGAGCGATAGATGGATACGCGATGGGCGATATGTGAGAGGCAAGGATTGCGTTGAAGGAGCGCGAAGGGAACAAACCGAAGGAGGAGCCGGAAGAATGGAGAATAATTCCGCTTGACGAAGTGTACAAAATGGAATGTAATCCCGTGGGGCGAAAATCAAATGTGTTTTCGTATATTTGTCCTTTATCATTGCTGAATCGCATTCGCGTTTCCAAGTTTCTCTTTTACCCTCCGTATACCGCGGCATCTTTAAAAATGCTCGAATATACTGCACGCTTGAATCTGAGACTTGAGATTGATAGATGAGATCATTCAATCAACTACTATGCGACTAAATATCTTGTGACAGCGTGAATACAAGATTTTTAGCTTTCATGCTGCACGCAAATTTAAAAAGTTTCGATTTGTGTACGAAAGGAATTTTTTTTTCATCTGAATGGCTTACATCGCCCTTTGGGAATATCCGCAAAATGATTCACCCAGCAGCAAACTTGAACGAAGTTTCCATCGCGTTTCTAATAAGTCTGGCAAAAATCTTTCTCCCGGTTGGAATTTATTCCTTAATTTGATTCACGAGAACGATACATTTTCTCATTGAACTTGCATTCGCGCGATGCACCTGCGGGAGTCTCGTCAAAATCAGAGCGTAAGTCGACTCGCGTTCTTTGTATCGGTAACCACGGAAGAAAGAGGGATTGAGCGAGGGAAAAGAGAGAAGAGGGGGGAAAAAAAGGGGGAAAGACGCAGCGATGCGAGGAGGCGCGGAAGACGGGACTAAAGGGATGAAAGGGAACACCCGACCTGATAGGCGAGTGAGAAAGGTACGGGCGAGCGCGGAGCAAGCCGCAGACGCCGTGATACGCCACCGGCACGCGGGACAAGGACGAAGAGGTCGGTGCGTAAGCGCGGAAAGGACGAAGCGGTACAACGTGGCGGCGAGAGAGAAAGCGGGAAGGGAATCAGGTCGGAGCAAGATGCGCGACTCCGGGATAACAGCCATGAAGAAGACGGAGATGTGGAGCAGGCAGCTGAGGAGAGACAGGACGCGGGAGAGAGCGCGATGCGGAAACGAAACGAACGAGGAGGGACGAGCGAGTAGGGCTGAGCGAGAAATCGCGAGCGGTACCGAGAGGTAGCAGAGAGAGAAAAGGACTTTCCCGTGGTAGAGACCTACATATTCCGTGGGGCCAATGAGACGGCGCAATGTGGCGGCATGGGCTCTCCGTCCTCTTCTGCTCCCGCTGGCCTGGTCTCCGTCCCGACTACGGCGCCGTCGCTCTGGGACGATGGGACGAGCGGGGATACGAAGGTGGCTCGCTGGTGTAGAACGCTGCGAGAACTCAGTTGCTCACGAGCATCCGTCGGCTGATGAACATGGTCCCCTGTACGTTGAACAGCGCGAGTGCCGTGCCTGCGATGTGCCGTTACGCTCTCTTCCTCGTGGTGGCGGTTGTGGCTCTCAGCAGAGCTGACAATGCCGAAAACGGTCTCAAGGTGGAGAAGATGTACATGCCTGAGGTATGCGACGTCAGGTCGAAGAAGGGCGACCAGCTGACCATGCACTATACCGGCACGCTCCAGGACGGCAGCAAGTTCGACTCAAGGTCAGTGACAGCACGCGATAGATCGGGCGAGCGCTAGGAAATAACCGCACATAAGCCGGAGCACTGAATACAGAATTGCGATCGTGCGTAGAGGATGTGCGACTTTGTGCGATTATGAGATTTGCCCATTAACGAAATTGCGCTGGTAGTGTGGAGGTTGGTACGCCAGTGGAGAACCGTCTGCGTTCCGCGAACACGATGATGTCATGCATTAGTAAGAACTAGTTTAATGTCTTTGACATAGTTTTCTTAGTGTCAGCACAGTAATTCTACATCGTAGAATATATTGTTTCGTGTAATATCCTTCAAAGTTGGATGCTTCGCTAAGTCCCTTCTTAAATAAAACGAATGTGATGCAAATTTTTTAAGTGAAGCCACTCTTATCGCGGTAATCGTAAAAGTAGGATACGAGTGAACCAATAAAAAGATAGAAAGGAGCAACTGATGATGTCATGACGTTACTGAAAAAAGATTTCTGAGCATTACGATAAGTTCATCTGGTGGCGGGTACAATGTACTCCGATATTATACTCGTACAATCGGTACTTTAATTATTGATCTAAGCTTCTATCAAAACTAATTAAACACACAACTATAGCGACTCTATTAATTTCGCTTAATAGATTTTATCAAATGTTTCTTTGTTTTTTACGACCTGGTTACTCCGAGAAGGAATGAATTAAAGAATTGAAAAATTTACCATACTTGATTAAAGTACGCGAATAAAACAGAGTTATTTTTATTTAAAATACTCTAACTTTAATCCCAATAACATAAATAGAAAGGCATGAACACGCAGCGTAGCTTAAGTTAGAAATGTTCAAAATTGAGATGAAAGCAGTGTCGATTGTACAAAATAGCGTATCCGCCGATGACGTCAACAGTTGTGCAAAGAGAAGGGAAAAAAGAGATAGCGCGACTACCTCCGGCTGAAATTTCCAACGTGGACGTACGTCATTGGAGGACACGAAGATGACGAGCATACCGTTTCAAGCGAGACTCTCGCCGTTCGAAAGTAACTTTTTAACATATAATGGGAAGAGCATAAACTCTGTTCTCAGCTGGAAATCCTTGCTTTCACGTAGAAACGTGTAACAATACTAGCGAGATGATACTCGCGCGGAATGTAGATGGACCAAAATGCGGATACTTGAAGATACATCGAAGTGTTTTATTGCCTGGTCAAACGATCGATCGCCACGTACATTTTTTTTTAGAATGGAATTTGATAAAGAGCACGTTTTACACAATTTTGATGAGAAACGAACGTTTCAAACAAAAAATATGCGTTTAATAAAAATCCATTTTTTCTTTGAAAAGCAATGTCTCCTATTTTTCTATATTGAAGATTTAACAGGCGCGCAAAAACTTGATACGATAATCCGGTTTAAAAGTGATTTGTCAATATCTGGTGCGATTACTCTCGCCGATAACCTACCTCTTGAACTTTCTTTAGCCACGTCGATTGTGCTCCAAATCGGATTTGGCACGAGAGCTGCCTGCATTCGGTACGATATATGCGTCTCGCGATCTCCTCTGCACGATTAACTGCTTGTATATTCCGGAATGACAGTTCACTCGAGACTATCGACCGATCAGATCGTTTCCGATTCTAGGATACAATAAAGATCCGCTTTTGATATAAATAAATAATACGGTCAAAGTATGCACGAAGTGAGATCTTATTTTTATGTAGTTGAATTTATCTTACGCATGGAATCATGGAATGGGCGTTTTGTTCGAATGAGATTTTTTAAATGAGCTTTTGATTGCAAAATATATATCCAGTACATTATAATAATTATTCTAAAATGTCCAGTTTGGGATCATTATTATAATGAACCCATTACGATTCGGCGAAACGATTTCACATTTTGTGTAAGAGCTAAACGGGTGAAGAGTTAATCTTATCTTACGTCACCTCTTGTGTAAGATTATTGTAGACGCAACATTCCTTAAAGTTGATTGAAGAACCTTCGATTAAAAGATGTTCGTAAGCAAGTACTTATCAGCTGATTAGATTTGTGCAGCACAAGTTTTCTTTTAAGATATAACAGGTCCTTGATTCGATGGTGTTATCGCACTAACTGATAAGGTAATATCTAGGAATGATTGGAATAGTAATTAACTGCGACAAATGAATTCAAAGCTAATAAAAGATTGACATTATTTTTTGCAATTTTATTCCCAATGTAATTTGAACGAAAGATAACGTGAGCAATGTACTGTCGGAGACTCGCGCCGCAGATATACAATTTCAATTAATTCTATTACTTAACTACATTTTTCCAATTCGCTCGCCACTGCGATGCTTCTTACTTTATTAACTAACCGTTTCTAAGCTATGTAATGATAGAACTTCGCTTCTTCTTTTCTCTTATGACGTACATAAGAGAAGATAATTAATACTTCATCGTTTGAAACAATATTAACGATGCGCAACGGTGTATACAGGCGATAATGAATAATTCTCCCAGATTGACGCTTCGTTAATCGTGGTCTGCGACATATTGTAATCTTTCCATAAACTTGTATAAACATTCTCTATACTGGAATATTATAATTATATGACAATGCGTCGTTAAATATTTTCGCACATATAGGCGATTAATATTTCGGCGTGGTTCACGTTCTCATGTATAACTATTATGCTTCGCGCCGAAAGATAATACAATGGGCATGTACGTATGTGTTATTATAATCATATTCCAATTTATAATGTTTAATACGGCATAATACCGTTTAGTTCCGAACGATAAACGCAATGTAATATAACGTAATATCGATCTACCGGCTGACGGGATTCATTACCGATCTCGCGCAAAGTCCTCGTTAATGAAACTATCGAGTTCGCAACTCAATCAATTCAACAGCGCGCAAGACTGGAAAACTTCCCTCGATCGAGTGTCCATATCCTTTACTCACAAAGATAAATGGACACCGATATCCTTACATCGCATTAGTAGCCAATGGCCTAAAAAAAATTTGTCAATTTCCTGTGGAACCGTTGTTTCATATTTATTGCCAAGCGAAACGATTTGGCGGATACTCTAATGTGGCGGACGAACGCTAAAGGACGGGTTGAGCTGACCTCTTTCCAGTGACCAAATTGTTTCGTAGTCCGTTATGGATACCGTTAATCGTATGTCGGACAACTTGCACCTGGAAAACTGTCGTACTGTTAAGTACATGATACAAAAGAGAGGAAAGCGTAAAGTAAACTTAAAACTATCTAACTAAAAACTACTGTCTTTCTTCTTATATTTCGAATTAACTTTCATTCTCCATTTAATACCTAGAATAATAAAATTGTTATACGAATTATAAGAATTATATTTAGAATTGAATAATTATTAACTCTATTATACGTATATTAATATTATTATTTAATATTATTGCATTATTTGCTCGGAAAGAATGACAATTTAGATTTAAAAAATGTATAGCTTATAGCAGATTTGAACATCTTTATTTAATATCTTGTGTCTTTAAAATTTTTTAAATTAAATATTATATAATCTTTAATTAAATATAATATCTCTATTTGAAAATTTTTTAGTTACTTAAATATACTATAAAATACATATCGTGAAACATGTTTTTGTTACAACCACGTACATTATATTTTCATTACTTTCCAAATACATATCATATTTCCATTAAGACTCTATAGCTGTTGTGGAAAATAATGCACTTGTTAATTTTGAATGTTTTTTTAACTGCAAATAGCAATGATTGTGTATACATATACCAACAAATATTTATTAATAATTAAACTGAGGCGAAAAAATGCATAAATATTATTCTAATATATATACGTTACATATTTTTACAGTATATTGATACAGTATACTGATACAGTAGTACACGGGTTATTAAATTTGTACTAAATATTTTTTTATAAAATTATGTATATTTTAACGCATTGAGAAAAATTGATATTTTAATTTAATTTTAATAAAGCTAATTCTCCAGCAACAAAAGATGAGAACGGTGTCGGAATCGTGTATCGGGCATGACATTAACCGCTAGAGTATCGAGAATTACCTACATTTACCGACTCTGCACGTCGATTCGACTGTTTCTTGTGGAGGAGCATCGCAATCACCTGTTTATCGCCTCGCATTCCGCTCAACCCCCATTATCCTCTTCCACTCGCGCCGCCTCCGTACCGCGAGAAAGCGAAGCACGTTAGCGAAAACGTTGACTCCATTTGGCACGAGTCTAGTTTGCCCCCAAGGTAGATTCAGCAGCGCCGGAGTTTTCCATTGGATCCATCTCCGCGGACACGAACCGAGTCCTTGCTCGACTAAGTTTTGCACCCGAAACATCCCAAAGAGACTTTAATGCACTTCACGACGTCCCCGTCAAATTCTGTCTACTTCGCCTCGAATCCTTTTTTCTTTGAGATACGTGCGTCACATGCTTTGAAAGAATTTTTATGTGGACCACCGCTAACATTAGTAAAAAGAGAAACGTGTTTATCATGAATTACATTTGAATTAATTGATTTCAAGTATAAAATTGAGAACTGAAAAAAGGAGAGTGAGAGAGAGGGGGGAGGGGTTAAAAGGCAATAAATTATTTAAATTTTTTATAATTTTAAGAAACTAAAAGAAATAAATTTATAGATTAATTTTAATTTTAGTTTTAGATTGAAAGATCAAATCGGTTTTAAATTAAGAAATTTTGCGAAATAGACAACTCGGATAATTCTGTCAATATACAATGTGTTGGAAAAATAATAATTGGTTTTCTGAAAGTATCAGACTATGATGTATGGAAAAGCTCATTATTTTAATTCTTTAAAAAATTGAAGATGGATTATAAAGTGTAATATCAATTATGTATTAATATTATTAATATATAATTAAAACGGTAATAGAAACCATTCAAATCGGTTCTAAATTAAGAAATTTTGCGAAATAGACATCTCAGATAATTCTGTTCATGCACAATGTGTTATAAAAATAATAATTGGTTGTCTTAAAATATCAGAC